AAGGTAACAGGAGTGACCTGTGCTTCAACGAGGAAAGGCCCAGAAGCGAGGTCGAAGTTTAGATGGGAGATGGCTGATGTCCAGGTTGCGGGTGTCGAGGACACCTGGTCTCCCACGGAAATGGTGTGGTCGTTGCGATGGCGATCGGCCTGGCGCTTCTGTTGCTGTTGAATGTCAAGGAGGCGCTTATGGGTCCGATCCCAAAGTTGATGCATGGTTGTAATGAAATCGTGTGCAGGTTGGACTGTAGGTGATGCTGTCGGTTTTTGTGGTGTGAGTGGGTGGCGTCCGTAGCAGAGGAAGAACGGCGTCTGTCCAGTAGCGGCATGTGTAGCATTGTTGTAAGCAAACTCGAGTACGGGCAGGTGCAAGTCCCATTTGGAGATGTCGTCCTTGCAGGCTGCTCGGAGGAGTTGCTCAACAATTTGGTTGAGGCGCTCGGTCTGTCCGTCTGTCTGCGGATGGTATGCGGATGACATGGCGAGTTTGGTGCCGAGCAGAGACATAAGTTCCTTCCAGAACTTGCTAGTGAACTTGGGGTCTCGGTCGGAGATGAGTGTAGTTGGGATGCCATGCTGTGAGATGATGTGACGAACGAAGAGCTGTGCTGTCTCCTCGGTGCGTGCCGTCGTGTGTGTCGGGATGAAGTGTCCCATTTTGGAGAACTTGTCAATGACGACAAGGATGGCGTCATGACCGCTGGAGGTAGGTGGTAACCCGGTGATGAAGTCTAGGCTAACCACTTGCCATGGTTGTTCTGGGACAGGAAGAGGCTGCAGTAGTCCCGCCTTTTTCTGCTTGCTGCTCTTCATCCGCTGACATGTATCACACGAGGTGACGAATTTCTGGACGTCGTCTGCCATATGGGGCCAGTAGTAGTGTTTGGCGATACCGGTGAGCGTCTTGTTGCTACCGAAGTGTCCGGCGTACAGGACGTCGTGGTATTCTTCGAGTAGTAACTGGCGCAAAGGAGGGTAATTGGGTACCCAGATTTTTTGATCCTTTCCGGTACGCGATGTCACTGTCCCACTGTAGCAGATGTCGCTTTTCTGCCAAGGAAATTTCGGGGTCGATGGCGTACCCGTGGGTGAAGAGTCCCTTGAGTAGTGGATTCATCCCTTCGACCTGAATCGCGGCAACGTGTGCAGGCCGGCTGAGAGCGTCTGCTTTGTTCTTGTGGCCGGGCTTGTACACGATGTCGTAGTGGAAGTGTGTCTCGAGGAAGTCGATCCACCGGACCTGCCGCCTGGAAAGGTTGGGTTGTGTCTTCAAATATTTCAGGCTGCAGTGGTCGGTGTAGACGGTCGTTCTTCGTCCTTCGAGATAGCATCTCCACGCTTTGAAGGCGATGACAAGCAAGAGCCTCTTTGTCGTGTATCGGGTAGTTGAGTTCTGCCCCGTGCAGTTTCTTGCTGAGGTAGGCAATTGGTTGCAGTCCATTCCCCTGGTCTTGCATCAAGACTGCTCCCACTGCCTGGTCGCTGGCGTCAGCTTCGATTACGTAGTCCGCGTTCGGGATCTTGGCAAGATGAGCACCGGTGCGGACGTTAGTGCTTGTTTCAGCTGCTCCACGGCTTCCTGGTGCTTCGTTCTCCCATTTGTAGGGCGTGTTCTTCTTCAGCAGATTCGTGAGTGGTGCCGCGAGTTTCGCATACTGTGGCACGAACTGTTGTAGTATTAGCGAAGCCTAGGAACTGCTGCAACTCCTTCACGTTCTCGGGTGTCTTCCACGTACGTACGGCTTCGACTTTCTTGGGGTCGACGTGAACTCCTTGAGCGCTCACCAAGTGTCCTAGAAATTGGACTTTCTCCAGGGCGAATTCGCTCTTGGACAGTTTGACGTAGAATCGTTCTCGTCGAAGAATTTCGAAGACGCGTCGCAGGTGTTCGACGTGCTGCTTCATGTCGCGCGAGTAGATGATATGTCGTCCAGGTACACCACCACGCATTCGTCCAGAAGTGGTCGTAGAATGTGGTTCATTTCGGCTTGGAACGTTGCCGGTGCGTTGGTGAGTCCGAACGGCATGACCAAATACTCGTACGATCCGTACCGAGTTCGAAAAGCAGTTTTTGTGGATAGAGTTGTCCGCCATCCGTATCTGCCAGTATCCGGACGCAGATCCAGTTGGAAAATACCGTAGCTCCCCGAAGCTGGTCAAGCAGGTCATCGATTCGCGGTATCGGATATTTATTCTTGATGGTCTGCTTGTTAAGAGCTCGGTAGTCGATGCACATGCGCAGGCTTCCGTCCGGTTTCGGTGTGAAGAGTACTGGGGCACCGTAGGCGAAGTAGATGGTCGGATGAGTCCTTTGGCTAGGAGATACTCGATCTGCTTCTTCATGTCGGTCAGCTCCGTAGGGCTGAGCCGGTACGGTGCTCGGAAGGTCGGCTTCGAACCCGGTTCCTCCACGATCTCGTGTTTGATGCGTTCGGTAATGGCGGTAGCTCGTTCGGAAGATCGTCAGGAAGAATGTCTTGGAACTCCTTCAGTAATTCCTTGATCTTTTCTGGAGTTTCCGAGGCTTTCTCTCCGTCATTCTCCACCTCTGTTGCTATCGCCAGGAACCCGGTGTCGGTCCGCTTCACGTCCTTCTCGAATCGTGCGAGTGTCTCCACTGGGATATCTCCAGTGTCGTCCCAGTTGGGTAGCTGTACTCTCCGTCCATTGTTGTAGATGCTTGCGGTGCGGTTCACCCAGTTGATCTCGGGGTTGAATCTTTTCAGGAAGTCTCGCCCGAAGATCAAGTCAAGCCCTTTGATGTTGGTGATGGGGAGTGCAGGTCTCCAGCGCAGTGGTCCAATTTGTAGATGTAGCACTGCTTCGCCGTGTACGGGTAACTTGCTGCCGTCCACCATCGTTGCAGAGAATCCTGAAGGCTTGTACTCTTCCCGGAGTCGGTCGATCATTGCCTTGTCGCAGACGGTGTGTGATGCTCCGCTGTCCACGAGTGCTTGGAGGCGTCGTCCTTTGCAGATGACCTCGAGCACGAGGGGCAGTCGTTGCTCGGAGTACCAAAGATAGTTTCATTGATTGGGTCATAGGGTACATCCCAATATTCCGTACACACCTTTGTGTTGTTGTCTACTCCTGAGCTGGCAGCTGGCCAAGGCTGCTTGGAGAACGGCTCTTCTCCAGGGCCCGGAGTTTCCTTGACGACTGTGCGCGTTACTGATGCCGAAGAACTGGATGCATCCGTAGAAGGAGTTCGGGGTTTGTGCAGCTTCTTGTAGACCCCCAGCTTCCTCTTGAGCTGCTTCAGCTCCACCGACGTCTTCCCTGGGGAACGGGTAGTCGTTGTGGGCTGGTGTCGGGAGAGGACGTTGACTCCGTGGAAAGGTCGGCTTCTTTCCACACTCCTTAATTTGGTCCCCAAGTTGTCCGGTACCGGTATAATCTCCACAGCTGTCTGCTTCTTTTGGAGTCCCTCCCGAATTTTCTCCAAGGCTCTAGCCCCTCGAACATCATAAGTTTTCATTAAAGCATCTTTATAAGATAGCTTTAATGAATTCTTATAATTTCTTGGGTCTTCAAGGAGTTTCCCCGTCTCGGCAGAGTCTTTTTTCGCGGAGTCTGATTTTCCCTCGGCGAATTTCCCTGGCGAAGACTGGTCGTGGGGTGGAGATTTTCCCCCATCATTTCCTCCTGCTCGCGTCGAATCAGCTTCGTCGAAGTTGATTTTTCCGGAATCCCGCGGCCGCTTTCGGATCTTTTTATTTTCGCCAGCTAGATCCGCAATCACTGGCGACTCCCGTTTTTTGTCTTCTGATTGGCCGAAAGATTTCCGCCACTGTTGCGTGCCCGATACTCTGCGCGTGCGGCCTTCATTTTGTTGCAGTCGAAGATTCGGTGGCCCGGCACCCCGCAAAAATCACACGTGTAGTTGGTGTTTTTCGGACGTGGCCGCCCCTCGAATCTGTCGACTTCCATCGGGTCGGCGAACGTGGGGTGAGCCGAGCGGTCGCCCTGTCGCGTACTGCCGACGTGCGTCCGTCGTGTTCCGGCGTTGACCATGTCGAAGCGCTCCGCGGCCGAAACGACGTCACTGTAGCTCGCGTAGTTTGACGCTGCCACCTGTCGTTTGACTTCGGTCTTCAGCCCGGCGAGGTACGATTGTACTTTTTCCCCTTCGGTCAGGTCGGGAATGCGGTTATAAAATTCCTCCATCTGCTGCGTGTACTGTGCTACACTCCCGAACTGTCGGTGTCGATGAATTTTTTCCCGGGCAAGGAAACTCGAATTTATCGGTTCGAAGCGTTTCAGCAGGTCGGTGCGGAACTGCTGCCACGTGGCTTCACCGTGGATGAAAGTACTGTTGCCGCCAATCCACTCGAGTGCTGGCCCTCGCATCAGTGTCGCCGCGAGTCGTACACGTTGACCGTCCCAGACTGGCGAGCTCCATCCGACGGCTGCGAAGTAGATCTCCATCCCGGCGATCCATCTGCGGGCGTCGGAGTTTCGATCGCTCGGATCGAACGGCTCAGGTGGGCGCGGTTTCGGAGCCTCGAGAAACTGCTGCGACTGCTGCGTTGTCGCCGTTGTCGTCTCGTGCTGCGCTCCGGCGAGTCGAGTTACTCGCTCGAACTGGTTTCGCCACGCTTCGCGATCCGCTCGCATTTCCTCCTGAAGGGCTGCGATGCGCGCGAAGAGCTGCTGGGTAACCTCGGCGTTGTCGAAGGTTGCCATCCTGTTCAAAACACGCACGGAGGGGGTAATTCGAAAATCGCGGAGCTGGTGCTTACCAGAATCGGCGTCGAATTGGCCGCCCCCGGCGGTTTTTCGAGGCAGGATCCCCGCTGCTGCTGCTTAGCTGAGCGCGGCCGAGTGAGAAAAGCTCTGATACCAAGTGTCACAGGATCGAATGTGTCGAGGAAAGGTTCCACTATCGATCAGTACAAGGCACTTTTATACTTCCAGAGTACATCAGGTAACCAGGTTTATCTTATCCTAAGGGAATAGACCCTTCTAGAAGATAGAATCACCCTGCGTATAGCCACGCGAGGCTATTGGCTTTAAGGGATTACAGCAGGATTACGCTAGATAGCGTGTCTAGAACATTCCATGCCTGGTCGGTGATATAATAATAATAAAGGAAGAAACCAAAGGATAATGGAAAATGGGGAATATGAGGCAAAAGGAGGTGAGATAAAAAGAGGAATGAAATGAAGATGAAATATGGAAAAGGCCAAGTGGTGTAACGGAGGCGTACTCTCACAGCGGGGAGGGAGGGAAGCAGGGGCGACCGGGGGGGGGGGGACCAGGAACAGTGGGGGGGTAACCAGGGGACCACTGTGGGGAAAGCGGTGGTAGAAGGAGACGAACTCGTCAAAGGTAACGTCGCAAGAGTGAAAGAAGCGGTGAGACGGCGGGTGGTAGAAGTGCCAGTCCGATGAGTTGAGGGAAAAACCTAGGAAGACACAGGAGACTGTGCGGGCAGTGAGCTTGTCCGTGTCGCAGGCACGAATGTGAGCAAGGCAGCCCCAGACGTGGAACGCAGACGCGTCACCGGGAGACCCGGTCCAGAGAAGGGTCGGTGAAACCTGCAGCCGCTGAGGGTGCGGCCACAAGTTATGCTGGTGAGTGGCGTAGCGAACGACGAACAGCCACAGAAAATGGGGTGCACCGGCATGGATCATGGAGGTACTAGCCACCTCCATGACCAAACCGATGCGTCGCTCAGCGACCCCATTCTGCTACGGGGAGTCTGGCAGGGTGTACGTCTGGGTGATGCCTTTTGCACGACTGAAACGACCTAGGGAACCAGAGGCGAACTCGCCACCACGGTCAGAGTGAAGACGCAACACTGGGAGACCTCGGTGAACACGCGCAGAGACAAGCCACGATAGGAGAACGTCAGGCACGTCGGCCTTCTGTTCCAGGGGGAACACGGTGGTGTAGCGCGTGTAGTCGTCGACAAGCACGAGGAAGTAGCGCTCGCGACGCGGCCCATAGATGGGGGCGGGGCCCCAAACGTCCATGTGCAGGGTCTGTAGTGGTGCGGTGGTGGGGGGAAACGAGGAGGAGTGGAGGCCACGGCGGAGCCAACCCTCGACGCAGGGAGTGCACGGCGATGCAGAAGAGGGGGGGAGCGCAAGGAACGACTCAAGGAGACCTAAGACAAGACTGTACTGAGACATGTGACGAAGACAGGGGAGAGCAGGGTGACCTGGACGGTGGTGCCACAGAAGCAAGGGGTGAGTAAGCGACCGACACGAGCAAGTCGCAGCACCCTGGGTAAACGCAGCCACCTGGGAAGACGTCCCAACCGGGTGGGATGCGGTGTCCAGTGTGAACAGGCCAGACACCGGGTCCCGGGGGAACGTGGTGAGGGGAGCATCGGTGGTGGCCTCGGTACAGACGGCGTACCGCTCGTGACCAAGAAACTTAGTGGTGACGCTGAGGTCCTGTAGGCAGCCGACATCAACTAGGTTCCTAGAGAACGAGGGGATGTGCAGGCTTGTAAGAGAACCCGAGGGTACCGCCGGAGAGGGGAGGGTGGTGGAATTACGGGCGACTACCGGACCGAAGGAAAGGGTCGGCAAAGGCAACTACGGCTAGGGCGGCAAGTGGCGTAAGCGTAGTGGAGTCCCGAAAGAAGCACCGGGATGCACCGAAGTTGAGGGTGAAGGAGAGCGCGGCAGTGGCGACTGGCTGCGGAGGAGTGAGGGTGGAGCCAAAGCTAAACAGGGCAAAGGATCCTACGCCTGACGCAGCAGGGGAGTCTGAACAAGACACACTGGGCACACCTACACTAGGTAGCACAGGGCAATAGGAACCAGTCACACTAGAGTCATCAAGATACAAGGTATACAAAGCAGAGCTAATCTCATCCATGTCGATCTCAAAGATCCTAACATCACGGCGCAGCAGACTGTGCCAGTCGGGAAGGTCCGGCGCCGGGCCAAAGCGGAGACGAATCAAGTCGTCCAGGCGACGGAAACAGCGAGTGGGGGTGTGACTGATCTTACCGCACACGAGGCCACGGCGAGGACCGGTCTGGAGCTGGTACGGGCAACACCCGTCACTCGCACCACTACCCGACGACACGCTGCGCGCACGACCACTGCTGCCACCTCCACCACCGGCGCCAGGCCACCCGGGCGGGAGACGACCGACCCGCCCCTGCTGCCGCGGCTGTTGCGGCGGCTGCTGCTGCTGCTGGGGCTGCTGCGTGGTGGCACCAGCCCCAGTCCCCTCGTCAGTACTGCCAGCTGGCGACTCGCCGCCGCCACCGCCGCCACCCCCTCCTCCGCTACCCCTGCCATGCCCTGACTTGGGGCGACGCCCCTTACCCGGACGGAACTGCGCTGCAACGGCTGTCTCCGCCGCAGGGGCGGTCTCAGCGACTGCAGCGGAATCGGCAGAGTAAGAGCACTGGGCAAGGGCACAACCCTGGAAGATAGGGACCGGCGCACTACCGTTAGACTGGGCGATAGAGCGCTGATGGGTCTCTATGGCAGACAGGGTGTCTACGAAGTCAGTAAGGGTGAGGTCAGCGGGGTGGAGACTCAAGAAATGGTCGCGGGCTGTGGCAACGCGGTCAGGGAGGCGGGTGGCAAGCAGGTAAAGGGTGGAGGTGAGGGGGGGCTAGAACACACGAAGCTGAGCTTCGGTGCAGGCAGCCAGCCAGGTCGTGTCTAGGGTGCGCAGGTGTGTGGCCACGTCAGCGACAGTGGGGAAGGAGGAGAGGTAAGGGAAAAGCATAGGCAGGATCAGGCGGCCGACCAAGGCAGAGGGCGGGGTGGAATAGCGCGCAACAACGGCCTCTAAGAATTCTTGAGTGGTCCTATCCGACCTAAAGCGAGGGCGCTCAGACAGGGGCAGGGCATGGCTGATCACAAGCTGGGCGACAGCATCACGAGACAACCAGATAGAGCGGGCAAGTGCAGCAGCGGTAGCAGTTTGACGGTTGGCAGACGTGGGGTCAGTGGGTAAAGGAGCGGGGGGTTCAGGGCGGGGAAGCGTACCGTCGAGGTGGACGGCCAAGGATTGGCTGTCCTGCCGTTGACCTGTGAGCTGGCGGTGGAGGTCCAAGAGCCACGTGTCGAACTCGATAGGTTGGCCCTCCGTGTCCAAGCGTAGGACGGAATCCGCCATCACGGTCGCGGCTGCAGCCGACGGGCGGTAGTGAGCTGAGCTGAGCAAAGGAGGGCGGTGCAGTGCGGGAAGGACCGGTGAAGTGTGGTAGGAGCGGTGCAGTACGGTGACAAGGGGTGCAGTGGGTGTAGGAGAGGTGCAATGCGGTTAGGAGCAGTGGAGGGCGGTTAGGAGTGGTGCAGTGCGGTTGAGAGCGGTGGAGTGCGGTTGGGAGCAGTGTAGTTCGGTTGGGGAGTGGGGCAATACGCTGGAGAGCGGTGCTGTGCGGTTGGGGCCAGCTGGGCGACAGGTCCAGCGGGCAGGTGCCAGGGCTAGCTGTAGGGGGGGGGGGGGGCTAGCTGACAGGGCCGAGAATAGCTGACGGGGCCGGGGCTAGCTGCACGGGGCCGGGGCTAGCTGACGGGGTCGGGGCTAGCGGAAGGGGCCGGGGCTAACTGACGGGGCCAGGGCTAGCTGACGGGGTCGGGGCTAGCTGAAGTGGGCCGGGGCTAGCTGACAGGGCCGGGGCTAGCTGAAGGGGACGGGGCTAGCTGACGGGGTCGGGGCGAGCTGCAGGGGGCCGGGACTAGCTGACAGGGCCGTGGCTAGCTGAAGGGGCCGGGGCTAGCTGACGGGGCCGGGGCTAGCTGCAGGGGGCCGGGGCTGGCTGCAGGGGGCCAGGGCTAGCTGACGGGGCCGGGGCTAGCTGCCGGGGCCGGGGCTAGCGGCAGGGGGATGGGGGGCAAGGCTAGCTGCAGGGGGCCGGGGCTAGCTGACAGGGCCGGGGCTAGCTGACGGGGCCGGGGCTAGCTGCAGGGGGCTGGGGCTAGCTGACGGGGTCGGGGCTAGCGGAAGGGGCGGGGGCTAGCTGACGGGGCCGGGGCTAGCTGACGGGGTCGGGGCTAGCTGAAGGGGCCGGGCTAGCTGTCGGGGCCGGGGCTAGCTGACGAGGTCAGGGCTAGCTGCAGGGGGCCGGGGCTAGCTGACAGGGCCGTGGCGAGCTGCAGGGGGCCGGGGCTAGCTGACAGGGCCGTGGCTAGATGACGGGGCCGGGGCTAGCGGAAGGGGCCGGGGCTAGCTGATGGGGCCGGGGCGAGTTGCAGGGGGGTCGGGGCTAGCTGACGGGGTCGGGGCTAGCAAACAGGGCCGAGGCTAGCTGACGGGGCAGGGGCTAGCGAACGGGGCCGGGGCTAGCTGACGAGGTCGGCGGCTAGGCTACGGGGCATGCGACTAGGTGACGAGGCCAGTAGCTAAGGGACAGCTGGGAACGGGGCCGGCTAGACAAAGGGGCCGGCGAGACGACGGGGGCCGGTTGTACGACGGGGCCGTCTAAGAGAACGGGGCCCGCAAAATGATGGGGCCAGCTGGGAGACAGGGCCCGTGAGGTGACGGGGCCAACAAGGGAACGAAGTTGGCTGGGTAACGGGAGCGACGCTGGCCTAGGGCGGAATTCGGTGGGTTGGGGGAACGGGGCCTACTCGTGATACCAACTTAGCGTAATCTAATGATTGAAATTATAGCATACATGGCAATATATGCTAAAGAGTTTGTACCCTCTAAGGTACGACCCTATACAGACTATATAACATATAAAGATATGTTTGAAACTTTATACTAGGGTGGGTCTTATCCTGTGCATCCCGATATTGAGGACCCCCTTTTTGGCTATTGTAGGATAAGACCCTTTTCTAGTCAACTAGGGGTCAGCCTAATTCTTTTCCTTTTCGCGTCGCCAATGAGGTGGCGCAACAAGGTATGCCCTGAGTAGCGAGTTTTTCCCCAGCGCAAGCTCAGAAAGCAGATCTCGCGTCACCCTAGCCATACCTGCGAGTCTTGGAGAGGAACTCAGGGTGCTGTTGTAACAATTTTCTAACTGCATTGTTAGAATCTCATGTGTATAACATAGACCCAGAGTCTTATGTATTTGCATCCAATTAAAAAACACACCCCCCGAAAAAAAAAAAACGGGGCAGGTTAAGACCCTAGGGTCTTTTAGCCGG